AAGGTGTGAATAGACGGACCTATATATGAAAGCAACAATTCTTGTACAGTTGCCTTCAGATGAAAATAGTTTGTGTTTGAAGATTGTGCAAGGCAAATAAAACATTAATGTACTCAATGTAGTGTTTATATTGGGAGTTAGATGGATTCAAACTAAACATATGAATGTATTAGTTTAAAGGCTCTGATATCATATTAAAAATCAATTAATCCAAATTCAATATAATTTTAAAAGTAAAATTCAGTTCAAAAACTAGAATACCGTCAATTATCTACGAACCAGTGCCAGGGCTGTTACGAGATCGGGCCATCGTAGCATTTCGTAGGAGACTGGGCTTGCGTATCTTTAGTATTTTATTATTATTACATTATTAGGCTTTTATTATTATATTGTCTTTAATATTGTTTTCCTTGTTCGTATGAGATTTGGTTATTGTTGGTAATATCCTTAGAGGTTTAGGAGTCATAATCTAGATAGGTAAAGGTAGAGGCTTTGTGCCTATAAATATGTACTTGTTTCGTTCGATTAATGATAAGAAGATTGGAACCCAATAGTTAGCTTTGTTCTTAGTTTGCTATTTCCTTTGAGAGTTCTTGCGTTTTATTCCCTTTTGCGAGAAAACCCTAAAAACGCCATCCCCCTACGTCACACCACCGTAACAGTTGGTATCCAGAGCCCGGTTCTCGAGATGGCGAGTAAGCAACAACAACCATCGAAATCCAGGGGAGCGGACGACAGTAGCGGCGACGGGTCGGAACCCAATCATCCCCAGCCACGACTGCACGCCATGGAGGAGCGGATGGGGAGCTTGGAGGGTCGGCTCAATCCTTTGGTCGAGCGGGTCGAAACTCTAGACCGGAAGCTCACCGACGTCCCAAGGTTGATGGATGAAGGTTTCGCAGAGGCGAGGAATGAGCAACGATTCGCGGCCTTGGAGGACTTAGTGCGAACCATCGCGACACAGACGATCGCAGCAACAGATCGTCGACTGAAGGCTTTGGACGACGCACTCGAGCGAGACAGTAGTGCAACCGTGACTCCGATCGCAGCCCGAGCTCGCGAGCGACCAGCAGCAACAGCAGCAGAGAAGCTGAAGGGCCCTCTGATCAAGGAGAACAGCGGCGGGGTTAAAACTAAACCGCTTACTAGCATGAGGTCGCCGATGAACAGCAGCAGCGGAGAAAAGACAGGCAACGGCGGCGGCACCGGTGGAACAGCGGCGTTGGGACCTGGCTTGGGTAACCTCGCCGTGTCAGAGGGTCCGATCGGTGGAAAGCAAGGAGGGCCGACGGGAGGAAGCTTGCCGGCGAAGATGTCAGGGAACGCGGGGACGATGACGGGAATTCCAGGCGTAACCCCGTCGGGTTGGATTGGACCGCCGGGCTATGACATCGGGCTGAATGGACCAACACGGGTTGGACCAAGGTTAGTTGGGCCGAATAATTGGGCTTGACCCAATTACCAAAGGCCGCCAGGATTCGGACCACCGGGCCTCAATGCAGGGTGGAACCCAGGAGCTGGGCCTTCGATTACTGGGCCGCCACAGTCCATGGTCGGACCCGGGATGGGTGTGAGCCCCAGTTCGGGGCAACTAACGGGCGGGAGCGGAGGATCGGGACCCATGGCCATCTGGGCCGGAGTTCCAAGCGCAGGAGAAGGGCCGCCAGGGTTGGGCCTTCAACACTTCAACGGAGGAATGGGCTCACCGAGCAATTGGGCCGGAACAAATGGAACAGCGGCCCAAGGAGGACGCGGTAGCGGAGCCCAAGGAGGAAGAAACGGCGAGCCGGGAGAGAGCGGGCTGGCCGGTGGCGGATTGGGCTGGGTTCCGCAACCTAGCTTGGGCAGTACGTCTGGGCTACCAACCGGGCCGACCGGAATGTGCCAGGGCCTCAATTGGGGCCAGATGCCAAGCGGGGAAGTCAGGCCCATGGCCGTCTAGGCCGGAGCCACGCGCGTGGAGCACGAGCCAGCCGGGAGTGGGCCTGCCGCGAGCGGGTTTGGAGCAAACTGGCTTGCGCCAGTCAGACTGCCAACTGGGCCCCCATATGGGCCGCTTGGGCCTTGGGGAAATCCAACAGGAGTGGGAGAAGGAGAGCGTGGTGGGCCGAGCGGAAAGATGGAGGAGAAGAATGGGTGGTTTAAACCCAAATTAGCCCAACTTGAGTTCCCAAAGTACAACGGGAGTGAAGATCCGTCAGGCTGGTTCGCAAGAGTGGAGCAGTTTTTTTCGATTCTAGGAAACCCCAGAGGAGCACAAGGTGGCTCTCGCGTCATACCACATGGAGGGAGATGCAAATCAGTGGTGGCAGTGGTTGGAACGCACGTACCTCACATCGGGGCTACCAATTACGTGGGCGCGATTCAGAGAAGAGCTATGGGCTCGATTTGGCCCAGCTGAGGGAGCATCTAGCCATGAAGCTCTCGCCAAAATTAAGCATACTGGGTCGTTAAGCGACTATTTATTGGCATTTGAAAAGCTGGGCAATCGTTGTTTTGGGTGGACCGAAGAAGCCTTGGTGGGATCATTCATTGGAGGACTAAAACCAGAGATATCTGATGCGATTCGAATGTTCCGACCAGAAACGGTGCGAGAGGCTATTTGTCTTGCCAAGGTGAAGAATGAAGAACTAAGCAAGCATCACCCAATGGCTAGAGGAGCACCACGACAAGGGATGGAGGCTGGGTCTTCATCGGCGGCAACACCAACACCACCAGCGCCACCTCGGCAACCAGCGGCACGCCGAATGTCGCCAGAAGAAGCCGCTCGACGTCGCGCGCAAGGATTATGCTTTCATTGCGATGAGCGCTTCACCATTGGTCATTGTTGTGCCAATAACAACGTTCTTCTTATGATTGGCGCGTGCGGTGAAGGCGAGGAGGGCACGTTCATCGAGGAGGAAGACCAACCTTGAGGGCAAGGTTGTGCTCAAGGAGGGAGGGATGTTACGAGATCGGGCCATCGTAGCATTTCGTAGGAGACTGGGCTTGCGTATCTTTAGTATTTTATTATTATTACATTATTAGGCTTTTATTATTATATTGTCTTTAATATTGTTTTCCTTGTTCGTATGGGATTTGGTTATTGTTGGTAATATCCTTAGAGGTTTAGGAGTCATAATCTAGATAGGTAAAGGTAGAGGCTTTGCCTATAAATATGTACTTGTTTCGTTCGATTAATGATAAGAAGATTGGAACCCAATAGTTAGCTTTGTTCTTAGTTTGCTATTTCCTTAGTTATTTCCTTTGAGAGTTCTTGCGTTTTATTCCCTTTTGCGAGAAAACCCTAAAAACGCCATCCTCCTACGTCACATCACCGTAACAAGGGCCACTAGGGATATCCTAACCACCACTTTGGTCCCTAAAAAAATGGTGCTATGTATATACAAAAGTTTGGTCGGAACATATGCATCTCTCTTATTCCAGTGTACCTTTTATTCAAAGCCTATAAATTGAAACCAATTTCAATTCATTGTCCGTCTATATATTCTCCTTTCAACACATAAATAAATAACAAAAGAGTATGCATTCTCCACTCGGGCAACTCCCCTATTTTAGTCCTAGGAGACCCCCTCCACTTTAATCGTCCATGCAAATTATTACCATTTTATGAATGATCATAAATTCGTTGGATTAAATGGAATTGATGAATTAGGTTAGTTCATAATGAAGAAAAAGGTGAATTTCTTATTTTAATTGCGCTAGTTGTTTTTGGAGTTTGTATTGTTTGATTGCAATTGCAAGTGTTGAAAGAGTTTTTTAGTTTTGGACTACATCAAACCCAATTTCGGAATAAAATAGGCGATTAGTTTGTAAATATTTTATAGTATGATATATAGAAAGAGTTTTTTTGAAATTTGTAGATGTTGAGTGTAGTTTAAAAAAAAGGTAGAAGATAAAAACAGGTGGTTGTAGTTTGTTATAACTTCTACTATAGTTGAACGTATTATCACTTAAGAACGCATATATTATGTTTTTTAAAAAAAATTATTTATTAATTTAATTTCTGAAAAAGGACACCCTAAGAAATTATGGGTCCACCATTGTAGGTAAACTCTCTCGAAACAAACAAGGATATAGATGAAGTGAGTCCTAACACTTTTGCAATAGTACGTAAGATCCATTAATTACAACTAAAATATAGGAAATAACTGGACAAGCAATTAATTTGTGGCAATAGGTATAATATGTCCCTCTACTATGTCATTTAATCAAATATATCATTCTACTATTTTTTACATCAAACATGCCTTGTACTTTGAGAAATGATCTAACATGTTCTTCTGTTAAAATTTTCATCCAATAACCATTAATCCAGGTTGGATTTTGGTTTGGGCGATACAAAAATCTAAAATATCCCTAATAATTTCACTTTAGATTGTTTTTGGTTATTTTGTATAGCCAAAATATTCTAATAATTCCAATTTGACGAGACCTAGAGAAAGAAATCAGGGGACAAAATTGACATTTAACCCTCCCATTTGCCGACATCGGGTCGTTTAAGTCTCGGTTCAATCATGATTGATGATTTTTTCAATGGAAATTTTAACAGAAGGACATGTTTGATAATTTTCCAAAGTATAGAGGCATGTTTGATATAAAAAAAAATAATAGAGAGATATATTTGATAAAACCAAATAGTAAAAAGGACATATTATACCTATAACCCATTAATTTAACACATACAACAGTGCGTGCGTGATAATACATAGACGACACTTAACAAGCATACAAGGCAAACAAGTTTGCCCAATTATTCCAAACGAACAACTCACATACGAACAGTACTTAATCAAATCAAAGGCACTGCCAAAATTAGAACTAAACAAGAACACAAACGCGGTTGCATCAAATAATTAGCAGTACAAATAAAATGACGGCAGCCCACGTCCCGTACATGGAGAAATCATCCTTGGTAGATAGCTAGGTACGTAATTAAGGAGTTGAGTTAAATAACTCCATGCACGCACGCACGTGGGCAATTATTGAACAGACAATCATCAGCATTGGAAGCCGGGAGGCACGGTTTTCTGGCAGGCGGAGAGGAGCAGGCTGAGGGAGACGGGAACGGTGAGGTTGATCCCGGCGACGTTGGCCTTGATGACGGTGCAGAGGCACACCGCGGCTTCCACGTCAGCCAACCCTTCGATCAAGGCGCAGCACTTGTCGGAAGGTGGGGTCCCTATCACCGCGTGGACCAGCCCCTTCAGGAGGTCCGCGCAGGCTCCTAGCTTCAACACGTCCTTAGGGCACTTGGGCGGCGGCGCGGGAGCTGGCGGCGTGGGTTCGGGAGCCGGTGGCTTGACTGCTGGCGGCTTGGGGGCAGGAGTTGGTGGCTTGGGTGCGGGGGTTGGCGGCTTGGGAGATGGTGGCTTGACTGCTGGCGGCTTGGGTGCGGGGGTTGGCGGCTTGGGCGCTGGTGGCTTGACTGCTGGCGGCTTGGGTGCGGGGGTTGGCGGCTTTGGTGCGGGAGCTGGTGGCTTGACTGCTGGCGGCTTGGGTGCGGGGGTTGGCGGCTTGGGTGCAGGAGCTGGTGGCTTGACTGCTGGGGGCTTGGGTGCGGGGGTTGGTGGCTTGGGGGACTCGCCGCAGTGACAGTCAGTGGAGACGGAGAATGCGGTGAAGAAGAGGAGATTGGTTATGAAGAGGACGGCGGTCACTTTGGTGGTGCTGGCGGCGGCCATGGCGGCTGTTGCCGGTGGAGGATTGTGTACGTACGTAGTGGGTTTTGGGTTAAGGGTGGATGATGAGTACTGTGAAGGCGCTGTGGGCGTTATAAAGGGGAATTGTAAGGTGGGAAATGTGTGAAGTTGAAACGAGTGGAAGAGAGGTGGCGGAAAGGGATGATGATGTACTACTGGATATCCAGATACTGGATACTGATTGGATAGATAGCTAGGTGTGTGTTACATTTGGACGTTTGTTGAAAGAGAGAAAGATCTGAATTTGCGGTATGTCTCTTTTGATTTTGTTAGTATGCTGAGTTTGGGCCACTTGTTCGGTTTTGCAACTTGCTGTTTTGCAGTGCGTTCGAGGGCATGCAGCTGGCTTCAGCAAGGATCGTACATGGACAATCTCCATTCATTTTGGCTGGGCCACAGGGATCCATCTTTGCATTCTGTGGTCTATTGTCTACCAAGCTACTCGACCCATCCTCATATCTAACTGCATGTGTGTCGACTAGATTTGCGCATGTGGGTGGTTAATGTGCGGTTTGATATTAATGTATTCGCAAATAATTTGAACTAGTAAAATCCTACTTGCTATCGTTTCGCGTATCCAAAAAATATATTTTATAAAGAGTAATAATTTAAATGTTGACCCAAAAGTAAAAGTAATCTTATGTAATTTTTAATCATTCTTTTCATAGGTTTGTTATTTACAATAGCATATGGTCGATAAACTTGCATAAGGTAGAAGGGTCGTCGAATAAATGATTATTTATGTTTAAACTTCTTTCATGACATTATTGTTTCAATTTGTATGACTAGTAGTTGATCCTGCTATAATTTTTGTAAAATGAACAAATTTTTTCGGAAATTTTCAAAAAGTACTTAAAAAAAACAATTGAGTGTTTTGTTGAAAAACTATTATAATTACTTTCTAATATAAGAGGTAATTTAAAATGACTAAAAATATTTCTAACATAAAATATGAATACAAAATCTAAAAATAAAAAAAAGTAATTAAAATGGATCACATTTGATTTATTTCATATTAAATAATACTATTTTTCAATTTTTTTTAATGATATAAATGAAAGAAATTATGTTTTCTAGAAAAAAGAATAATATATGGTAAAGACAATTTTGCATTTTCAAATCGGAGCTTTTGCTTTTAAGTTACGAAAACCTTCAACTTTTTAAAAAGTGGAACTTTAGAGGTGTTTGGCTTGGGTTCAACTTTTGAAACATAAAACTTCTAAACTTCAGGCCAAACATAGTCATTCTCTTTTGGTTTTTTTTTGTTTTTGTTTGAAGTAATTGTGGTTCTCCTTTATGAAATTTTTGGACTGATTGCACGTTTGAGTAGGTTCAACTCGCATTCATCAGGTTAAATTAGGTTGGATACCCATGGATTTGGGTTCAATTGTCTTTTTCAAACAAACAGAAAAACCACAATGAAAAATACTAAAGCTAAAACTCGCTACCGACTCAATTATATTCTCATTAACACCAGGTTCAATTCGCTTTGACCTGATTGAACCGAGTTTTGGGCAAATTCATACCTGACATAACTCGTTAATTACAAAAACAAATAAAACTCGCTCCCGTCGTAAACCTGGAAAACTAGGTTCAAGTCGCTTTGGCCAGGTCGAATTAGGTTGGAGACCTATGCGTTTGGACTCAATTGTCATTCTCAACCAAAAGGAAAAATATTAAAAAAATAATAAAGCGGGAAAAACTCGCTCACGACCCTAAACTCTCAACACTGCGTTCAACTCGCTTTGACCAGGTCGACCCAGTTTTAACAAATTCAAAATTTACCCAACCTGTCAAGAATAAAAGCGGATAAAAGTCGCTCTCGATACGAAACGCATGAACTACGGGTCAAAGTTCAATTTTCATTCTCAATTAAAAGGAAAATGAGAAATAAAAAAATTATTGAAGCGTGTTTTGGTTCAAGTTAGTATACCCATGTGTTTGAGTTCAATTGTGATCATGCTAAAAATAAAAAAGGAAAAAGTGAGAAAAACATACTAAAGAGGATGAAATCGGTCCCGATACAAAACTCGTGGTAGCGGCCTTGGGAAACGATGGTAGGGAACAACTTAGAATTTCGCCGACAATATTTCGAGATGGGCTAAGAAATGGTGGGCAAAGGCGATGATTTGTGCAAAAAGTCATAGACAAAAACCTAGTGGATAGTTGCTGCAATAGGAAGTTGAAAACCTAGTATGCAATCATTGTTATGGGGAATACAATGAATAGTAACTTCAATGTTAGAATTTTATATATGGGCAGTTCTACGGTGCCCAGGGCAAAATCCGGGGTACGGGTAACCGGGGGCAAGGAAAATTACCAAAAGCATCATGAAGCGTTTATGCTTTATTCATTGGACTTCAACCTAACTGTACCCGGTTTAATGATATCGATTAAGAGGTTAAACCCTATGGATACGACCCGCCGCCCTAACCAATTTCCAGTCTCCCTTCTACGATCCCTCATTCGCCTTGGAGGGTCCCCTCTAAGTTCGAAGTTCGATCATAAGCTGCCTATCAAATCTGAAATCTCCAACAAAATCATCGTTTCGAAACCCAAATCCTTTTATTATTTGATCCACATTCGATTTAGCTCCCTATCCAATTTCAAATCCCCAACATCATCATGTTTCATACGCCAAATCTATGTATCCACATTCGAAGAGAAGATCCCCATCCAATATGAACTCCTCACATAATCATCGTTTTGAACCCCAAATCCTTTTATCCACAAATCGACGGTTTGTTCATCGCCATTTTATTTCCGTGCGGAATTTACTCGCCTATCTCTTTCTAACACGATTACGGCGACCATGTCTATTATTGTGTTCATCAAACTTTTCGTTTGCAAAAGAACCCTTGAAAGAGGTTTGCTAACCCTAGGGTTCATGTCGCTAGTGCTTTGTCATATTGTCTTAGCGGTATTGTCATTTTCTCGAAACTTCTATCACTCGGTGAAATTAAGGTTTTCTGATGTGCAGTGTTCGTCTCGCCCAGAGGATTGAGGAAGGAGATGAAGAAGACCTAATTTGATTCGAATCAGATGGAGAGGTCTCCTTAATTTGTGTTTATGTATAAACGGTGCGTTTAGGACTAATTCTAGTTGGACTGGGTCTGATCATTGATTTTTGCAGGCTTTTCAATAACATTCAAAAGTGGGCTTGTACATGACCCATGACACCTAGTTTGTTGACAATGGATACTGAGTTCCGGATTGTCATTAGGTTGGGCCTTTGATAATTGTCTATCTCAGTGGCGATTCTTTGTTTTACTTATTTTCATCTGCTTCTGCTTCTAAAATCCTGATCATGCATTGAGTTCACGCAATTTAAACATAATTATGTGTTCCATCTTTTTTGGGATTTGGTAAATGCTAGCGTGTCTCTTTACACATTTAGCGGTACGAGGTAAACTACAATCCGCCCAATTTAACTCTTCATTAATTGAGATCCTATTCCACTCTCTCACCGATTTCCCCTCTTTATGCAATGCACTCGTACATAACAAACCTCTTGTAGACTAATTAGAGGCTTGTGCTTGGATACTGAGTGAGGATATTTTTTTAATTTATGTTTTGAAACGAAAGTTAGAATTTCACTTTTGAAGTACCTATGTACTTTAGTTGGCCAAGTATTTTCAAAATGTAAAATTTTATCAGCGTATAGGTATACGATTGTTGTATAAGGTGTTGATGTTAAAGGAAATGGGTACTGACGGCTTAGGGTATTAGGTTGTTGATGGTATAGAGTATATGGTATATGGGTAGGTTATAAGGTGTTGATGGTTTAGGGCATATGGTATCGATTGGTTAAAGGGTGAGGGTAGACGTTGTCTTATTTTTTCTCGATTTTATATTTTCTTTATATCTGCTTATAAATGCTGATCATGCCTTATTACTAAAAAAACTTAGACATAATTATTGTAGCGTGACACATTTATCAGTACGAGATAAAATGATTTGGTGTGTGCAAGGTAGGTTCCTATTATCTATTTTGCCTTGTTGGTTATCCTTGTTGGTGATCCCAGCCATTAGCGATTCGCCACATATGGAATGAAAATTAGTTAGAGTTATTAAGTTCATCTTTCTTCATTTATTGTTTGATTTGAACCTGCGTGTTTTTGGTCCGAATGATTTTGTAGTGGCGTGGTAAAGACAATCCGTCCAATTTAACTCTTCATTAATTCCCCCTTTTCTTTTCTTTTTTGGTAGAATAATTACCCCTTTTCCACTCTCTCAGTCCCCGCCGAAGTTGAAACAATCCCCTGTGATATATTTATCGTTCATTTTAACCCTTCACTTAATAAGAAAGCGAAATTATGCAAGATGGTCATCAATGTGATGTAGCTTAATTGGTTAATTGTCTTTTATTTGCTTAGTCAATAAAGTAGAGGTTTTTGGTTCGATACTTAGTGAGTATCAATTTTTAATTTATGTTTTGAAAAGCAAGTTATAATTTTAATTTATCAGCGTATAGGTATACGATATTGTATAAGGTGTTGATGGTTTAGAGTACATGGTATTGGGTTAGTGTATTGATCATCTCCATCCCTAAAATACGATATTGTATAAGGTGTTGATGGTTTAGAGTATATGGTATTGGGTTAGTGTATTGATCATCTTCATCCCTAAAATTGAACAACAATTTCTAAACGAGGTCCCTACCGCCACATCATCAATTTTAGCAATTCATCACTTAACAATTTCTATTCATCTACATCCCTAAATTATGCTAGCAATTGCCAAGGTGGGTTCCATTTTATATTTCAAAGGAAACACTTATTATAAATTGAAAGTTGGGGATGGAGATAGAAGAAGGTGTTGTTGGTATACAGTATAAGGTCTTGAAGGTTATGGTATAAGGGAGGAGCAAGGTGTTGATGGTTTAAAGTATATATGTTATTGATTGGTTACGGTATAAGCCTATAAGGTGTTGTTATTGTTGTAGAGTATATGGTATTGATTGGTTCGTGTATTAGGGTTTA